GAGACCAGCCTGCACATCTATTTCCTCTACACGCTCGCTAAATTGCCAACTTAGAGTATGGGACTAAACAGCTAGAAAAGTCTGGAAGGAATGCACCCAACCTGGGGAGGTCAACAGCGTAGCCACAGGACCTGGCGGCAGGGAGCTGCCCAAGCCCCTCAGCTGGGCTGCCTGGCCTCCCTTAGCACATTCGCTGTCTGTGTCTGTTTAGAAATAAAATAATGCTCGGAGGAGAAATGAAGAACTTAATAGGATTTAAAAAGCCGCAGGAACCGATGGGGCTACAGATGGTCGAGGGGCTGGGAGGACGGAATCAGCCACAGTTTTATGGTGGGGAACGTGGCCTCGGGGAGGGCCTCAGAGCCGCATTCACATGCATTGTGTCCAACCTCATTAGCCAGCCCGGCGGGACTCCGCTGCCAAGTGAGTGCCGGCCACGGTGAGGGGAGACGGCAGCCCTGAAGATGCCCGTAAATGAACGGGGAGCAGTGACGGGCTGCAGTACCACCGTCTGGCTAACTGACCGGCCCTCACCTGCCTCGGGGACCCAGTGCACACACGATGACTCTCAGGCTGTCGCACCTGCCCCCAGCCTTCCCGTGCCTTCCTGGCCCTGCCCAGCTCCTCTCCGCAACAACACCCCCCCCATTGCTGACACCCCCCGCCCCCGCACCAGACAGACTGAGACAGGAGGGAGAGAGGGAGCTGGGGGAGAGAGGCAGGGGCTCCCAGGTTTGGAGAGGGAGAGGGAGGACAGGAATGGAATCTGCTGTGGGGTCCTTCAACCCAGGTGATTCTGAAGCACTTGGTGGTGGGGGGAGACATAAAAGAAACTCCTTCGCCCTCTAGAAGCTTCGCTAGGGGGTCCCTAGATAGTAGCTTACTGCAACGAGCCCGCCAGGGTCCCCTTCGTGGCTGGAGCTCAAGGCCACCCCCCTTTCCCATATCTATCCGAGCCTCCCCAAGGCCCTTAGCCAGTGACGGAACAACAGGACTTTGTAACAGGGAGCTCAGCCCTCCTGCCTGTGTCCACCCTCCACCATCAGCTGGCCTCTGGCTGGCTACCCCCTTGGATTCAGTGACAGCTGCCCCTTTGGCCCCTCTTGTCTGGGCCTCCTCAGGCCTCCCTGACTGGGCCAGGGAGGGGACTCAGCAGTCCCTCCCCCAGCTGGAGCCTCACACATCCCAGCAAAGTCAGAGTCCTCTGGACTGTGTGTGTGTGTGTGTGTGTGTGTGTGTGTGTGTGTGGTTTCCAGCTCCAGGTGCTGTGGAAGGGTGAGGGCCGTGGTGACAGACCCTAGAAGACTGCTGCAGCCTTGCTCACGTTCCCTCTGGAGGGGCTCCCCAGGCCACACCTGCCCCTTCCGAGGGATGAGCAGCCCCTCGGCAACCCTGAATCCCCTCTTTCCTGGGACTGCCTCCCAAGTCATCTTGATTCCGAACTTCTCCAGCTCATCAGCCCCCCATGTTGTGTTTCTTCTGTCATTTCATGTTGATGAGATAAAATCAGGTGGCCGGTCTGTGCCCCACTCCCCAGCCACTGTGTCCCCGGTGGGGGACGTTTGTTTTCCACCTTACCAGGAGCGTGTGTGGGGCTGCGGGTGCTTTTGCCAGTGTGGGTGTGAGGCATGTTGGGGGTGATGGGGGTGCAGGTGTGTGACTGTGTTCCGGGGCTCCTCCGAGCACAGCATGGATAAAGCCCACAGGAAATAAACCTTCTGGCCTGTTGGTGGTTGCTGAGAAGAGGTAAGGGTGGTTTCTGATGATGGGGTGTGTGTCTGGGAGTGGTGGGGTGGCATCAGGCCAACGTCTGCTGTCCCTGGCCTGGACCTCAGCCACTTCTTCCCTCTTCAAGGGCTCCTTCTTGGGCCCTTTCTGGGATGTAGGCACACCCTCCAGCCTCAGCCTCCTCCAGTTCAGCCCAGGGGGTCCCCAAGCAGGTTTGCTGACTAAGGCCGGGGCCCTCAGAGCCTGACTCCCTGCAAGGAGCACCCATGCCTGGGTATGGGAGCCTCATTTGCCTGGTGGGGGGGCTGCGGGTTGTCCTGTCTTCTGACCTTAATACTCCCCTGGGCTGAGACCAGGGAGGAGGAGGGAGGGGGTCAGGGCTATAGGGCAGCACACTGTGGGCACCCATCTAGATGCTAAGAGTGAAACCCAGAGGCTGAGGGGCCCCTGCAGCCATGGCACCCAATTCAGATGCTGACCATGAACCAGTTCATGGGGCAGGATACATCTGCCTGCCGGGAAGCAAAGGAACACAAGTGCATGCCCTATAGGGAGGGTCCCTGCCTCTGAGATGACCAGGGCAGGTGGGGGTGCCCTCCCCCAGGCTCTTCTCTGTCTCCAGCCTGCCTCATTCCTCTGGTTAATGAATTGGTTTGCTTATTTGAGGGTGGCTCAGTTTAAATGTAACTTGCTCCAGCGAGCTCTGTAGGGTTAACTGGATCCTCCTTGCGGAGAGAGGGTTCCTTCCCTGCTTAACTCTTGGTGGTGGTAGCAGGGGCCAGCTCTTCTCTGCCTGTGCAGGGACATCACAGCTGTGATGTCCTCTCTCTGCCTGGTCCCCCCACTATGATCAGGGTCTCCTGCTTCTGATGGAGATAAGCCCAACCCCTTGGGTTTGTGTTCAGGGCCCCATTTTCACTTTGAGTCCTCACTGTTTCCGGCCAAGTCTACACCTCTTGGTCCGGTTCCCTCCAGGAAGCCCTCCCTGCCTGCTCCAGGACACAATGAGCTCTCTTCTTTGACCCCCACTGGCTATGCTGTCTCAGGTCTAATGGGTTGGTGCAGGAGCTCCGTATTCAGCCTGGCCCTGCCTCCCTTACCTGAGACCCTGCTCTTCTTCCCTCAGCCTCCTTCCATACCCTTCTCTGTTCCCATTTCTTTCATCTTTTTTAACATTCACCTTTTCCCCAGCTTTTTTCCACCAGAAGAAGTATTTAATGGATATTAAATTATTTTAAACTGACTTTCTTTCTTTCTTTTTTTTTTTTAAATAGCTTGGTGATAGTGCTGACTCAGGATCATCTCACTGTTTAATATTGAATATGCAATTAATAGATAGATGTTTAGGTTTGGCTCTTCTTCCCCCTTTCCACTGCAGGAAGAATAAAAGAGCTGATTAATCTGGTTTGGGGCAAGTGTCAGCGGCAGGAGATATATGGGAGAAAGGAGATGAGGTTAGCAAGTTGGAGTCAGAGAGCTATTGCCTCCAAGGCAAGTGAAGGAGAAAAGGGTTTGCATTTGCGCTCAGCGTGGCCTCGCTGGGCACGGTGTTTCCGATACCCCACTTCAGGCCTGGAGAAAACTGGCTGGACTCTGTCTGAGCTATCTGCACCGCACCTGAGGGGCCCCTTGCTCCTCCGCAGGGGCCCCCCTCTGTGGGGCGTTTTACATGGCACCCCAACTTCTGTTCCAGATGTGGAAAAGCCCCTCCTTCAAGGCCAGCCCAGGTACCATCTCCTCCAAGGTGTCTGGCTGCCCCCATTTCAGGGGCCCCTTCTCTGGGACTGCAGGTGCCGCTTACTGTTGCGGCTACTCTCCTGTACACCAGAGATTCGCCCCCCGCCAGGGATAGGGGCTCTTCACTGCATCCTGGCCCTGCTACCTGAACGGGGTGCTGCAGGTAAGTCGCTGCATGACGGGGTGCCCTGGGGCCCAGGGCCTGCTGGGCCTGTCTCCCGGAGACGGTGTCTAGGACAGGCCCATGGAGAAGTCCTGCGTGAGGCGGGCCAGTACTCCCCTCAGCAGCAGGGCAAGGATGCCTAGAGCTGGGTATTTGAGGAGCTTCTGGGTGTACAGCAAACCAAAGTCACTGGACTGCCAGGAACGGGGAAGGAGCAAACAGTGTGAACCAGGTGGGCATTGCCTGCCTGGGCCCTTTACACCTGAGCCATTTTTACCTCTCAACTGACCCACCTCACTCTCAGGATCCTCAGGATGGGAAGCTCTCAGAAGGCCAGGGGGAGGTGTGTCAGTGACAGGGTCATGGGACCCCCTGGGGGCTCTGGGCTCTGGGCTCTGGGTGGGGGGTGAGATTTGAGGCCCAAGTCAGGAGGGTCCTAGACATAGAGGCCTTGTGCCCAGGTCAGGGTCCGGCTAGGGCCCAGAGGGCAGCAGCCGGAGCAGGAGGGACCCCGGGTCTCAGGGGCAGGCAGGCCACCTGTGGCCACACTACCTTTCTCTCGGGATGGGGACCTTGACTCTGAATTTGCAAGTAGCTTTTGCCTATTTTACTTTTTGCTCTTAATTTCCTAGAACACTCTTTGTAGGGAGGGAGGACAGGGGAGAGAGAAATTACTCAGTGCCTGTCTAAGCGGAGAGGGGAGTGACCTGTCCAGGCCAGAGCCCGGGGTGGAGGAGCTTGGCAAAGGGAGCCAGGAGCCCCTGTTGGGGCAGCCTCTGTGTGCGGTGGTGGCAGCGTCCTCGCTGGTGGAGGTGCCAGAGCCTTCCTCGGGGAGTGGGGCTCTGAGCCTGTGGCGTGTGGCTGTGCCCTCCCACTCTGTCCCCTTCCAGACATCGCCGTCGGCCGGCATCTATCCCCAGGATCTTGACCTCAGCGGTCCCAAGCCCCCACGGCGGCCCTTCTCAGATTTGCCACCCTGGCCTGAACCTTCCCAGGTCCCGCTTCCTCTCTCTCCCAGACTGGCACCCTTTCAACTGCTCACGCTCCATCATAGGGGGGGTTTCCTTGGCAGCACGGAGGTGGGCACACCATTAGGGGTTCCTAAAGGAGGCATTCGACTGCCCCAGGACATGCTACTTGTTTACTTACAGGAAGGAAGGAACCCCGCCATCTGACAGACCCCAATCACCTCCTCACGCCCCTTCACTCTCTCCCCACACCGGTCACCCAGAGCTCCAAAGCCCGGTCCCAACTCCCAGCCACGAGGTCCCTAGGGCGGGAGGCGAGGGCAGGGAGTCGCTGCATCGCTGCCTCAGGGAGAGGGAGGGAGGGCTGGGGCAGGAGAGGGGGGCAGAGACAAGTGAGCCCTCACGTGAAGGGGGCTGGCGCAGGCAGCTACTACCTCCTCGGCTCTCGCTGTCCGCTGGCTTCACCTGGATCGGCCGGTTCATCTGCAACAGAGCACAGGGGACAGTGTCAGAGCAGGCCTGGGAGTGAGCGGGCAGACACCCACACCCAAAGGGACACGGGTGTTCATAGGGACCGAGGCACACGGACCGCACCCAGCGACACGCCCGCCCGGCCAACGGCTGCCCCCCGCACAGCTGCACCAAGCCCCAGCCCTCTCCCCTTGCCTATGCAGTCCCCAGGGCTCCCTTGTTTCAGGAGGCTTTCTCTGGATGGCCGACTCCGTGGTGTCCGCCCCCCCCCAGCTTTGAGGAGCTCTCGCTAGCCTGTGATGTTAGAACCTGAGGTGTCCCCATGGCGCATCTCTGGCCAGCCCTGGTTCACTGGAGACAGCCGGCTTTGCTAAAAAGAGCTGGCCTCTGGCCACCCCGTGCCATCTCACGGATGTGGGCAGTGGGTCCCAGGGGTGCCTGAGGCTCTGGGCCACCCAGCTCCTCGTTGGAGTTGGGCTCAGGGCCGGGGTTCATGACTGCAACTAGCGCTGTCCCCTTGGGGTGTGTGGAGCGAGCACAGTTCCTTGTCTCCCATGGTGTCTAGGGGCCAGGAGGACACCAGGACACGGCCTGACCCCCCACGCCTCCCAGAGGCCCAGCTCACACTCTCTCTCTTTCTCTTTCTCTCTCTCTCTCTCTCTCTCTCTCCACTTCAGTGCCTCGATCAGGCCACTAGGGGTCTCTGAACTCCAAGCATCGCGGCTTGGCGCTGGTCTTGAATCCTCCCTGCGGCTGGTGGCAATGCAACGGGGTGGGGGCTCGCCAGCCCTGAGGCCCCAAGACATTTCAGACAATAAAAAAGGAAGGAATCACGCAAATGGAATCCTACTTTATGTCTTTTCCAGTGCTTTCGCCTGTCAAGTACCTCCCTTATCCCTCACTGCATTTTCATTTCTCACACAAACACACCCCGACAGGCAGAGAGGGCAGGGACCGGCACCCCCATTTCGTAGATGGAGACGCTGAGGCAGAGCCACCCCACGGCAAGATGAGCCCAGGAAGCCGAGTCAGCCAGGGCTACGTCTAGGCTTCCGGCCTGCACCAGGTGACTCTGTTGCCAGTTCCCCTCGTGTGCGGAGGCTGGACCAGCCAGTTACGAGCTTCCTCGGGCCTTCTGGTCTAGGATTCGAAGTGAGTTGTGGCTGCGTCAAGACAAGTGGGTGGGGGAGTGTGGGTGCCCGTGACTCAGCAAGGTGAAGACAAGGCCAGGGGATGGGCAGAGGCACGAGCAAGGACAGAAAGGCAGGAGGCAGGGCATGGAGCAGAGGAAATGAGACGCGGGGGGCCTGCGGGGCGCAAGACAGGACCCCGGGGGTCAGCCCACCGAGATGGGGTCGAGCGTCATTTGCCACAGGACTTGGCACGCCTTACAGAGTTGAGGGAAAAAAAGCTATTTGTATGTAAGCTCCACCAGATAGAAGATTGTGGTGTTACAGAAAGCTCCAATCACAGGGAGAAGGAAGAGGGACATAATGAAGTTCCTGGCTTCATTTAGGGAGTCCTGGATCCCCCCCATAGACAGCCTCCTTTGCAGTTCTTGTGCAAAGGGTGCAAAAGGCCGAGCAGGCTTCTGACTCTGGGGGAAGGGCTCCAGGAAGGAGCCAGGGCCCTCCTGGTTTCCTGTCCAGTGCCTTTTGGGACTCAGTATCCAACCCTTTTCTGGAATGTCTCTTCTTCCTGGAACACCCCTAAATTAAACAAGGTAAATTAAACAGGGCCAATGGAATCTGTCTGCGCGGGGAGCCTTCCACCTCAGGGGGCTCCCCACCCCCAGGCAGCCAGCCTGCCTCCCTGTCCTTGGTACGTGGGCATTCGAGAATACTCTGCCCCAGGCTCATGGGCTTAGGCCTAATTTCCAGCCCTTCCAGCTCCCCAGCACCACCCCAGCCCTCCCTGACCTCCTACATGACTTACTGCTAGACTCCAATTTGGCTGTGGGCTTCCTGGCAGCAGGGGTCCAGGGGCTCATATGGCTTCCCCCCTGCCCTCAGCCATGGGCTAGACACCCACAGGGTGCTCCACACAGACTGGTGGACTGGAGCTGAGCTGGTTCCCAGGGACCTGTGGCTCCCAAGGTCATTTTTCGTGTTTTATTACAATCTAGGGATGGTCAGCATCCAGACAGCCTTTGCGGGGCTGTCAAAGAGGTGCCAGTCTTGATGGAGAGAGAAAATACGGCCCAGTGCTTTCTTAATTCTCAGCAGAAATAAAGTGTCAGGCTCAGTTGGGAAGATTTCTCAGTTGGAGCAGGTTCTGTACAGATGCGTGGGGCCTGGAGGGAGATCTTCTCCCTTGGCCAGTGTCTCTCTTCCCTGTTCTAGACTTCAGCCCTGTCCAGCCTCACCAAGGCCTGGTTCTGCCCTGAGGAGGTGGGGGGTGGACATCATGAGCTTGTCCTGGGGAGAGGAGGCTGCACCAGGCCGCAGAGATGGCCAGTGAGGAAGGGGACAGCCAGAGAGGGTAATGGGTAGGACAGTGGGAGGGGCACTGCCACCTTGTCCTTCTTCTAACTTTGCCCCTAAGACCCTGGCCACATGGCCCCAGGCTGTCCCTTACAGGTGAACAGCATGCTTCAAGGACACTGGAGCCTGCTTCTTGGGATCTTTCCTCTCCCCTGTCTGTCACGCCTCTGTCCAGCCATCCCCCTCGGTCACTGTATTATCTTTCCAGGAGGGCCTGGGGCTGGGGGCTGGTGGGACCTGGGCTGGGGTGCAGGTGCCCTCCTTGCTGATTCTCTTTCTGAGGTGTTGTCTGCGTCCCTCTGTGGCCTTCCACCTGGGTTGTGCCTCCGCTTGCCTTGGGGGAGAGGGGGGTGGCAACTCGGGGCTGCCCCCCAGGTCAGGAACAGCTCCCTGAATGCATCCTAAAGGCTTCTGGGGTCAGTCCTTCGGGGACATCATTAACAATTTGTGTTTCTGCTTCCAGCTTGGGGTCCCGTCACAGGGAGCGAGTGGTTGTTGGCCCAGGTTTTGGGGTCCTCCCTGTCCCTACTGCAGCAGAGGGCTGGCGGGTGGCTTCTTCTGTTAGTTCTGCTTCCCCTCCCCCTCCCCATTTCTGCCACTTTTTGCATCAACACATACCCATGCATTAAACAAGACATTCCATTAATTTCTTCATCATCATAACTTAAGCTGGGACATACCCTTTAAATATTCATTCAGCTATGAAAACTGGGCATTAAAATTTTAATAATGTCAAGCTCATTTGAACCAGGCTCCTTGGGGACGATTACGATACAATTAGAATAAATACGATGATTGAGCTGGTCCAAAGGCTTCACCTGTCTGTCCAATGTGGCTCCTTGCGGAAAGAGAGGTCTGTGGCCAGTGAGCAGGCAGACAGATTGACAGACAGACCAGCCTGGCTCTTTCTTGACTCCCCCTCTCCTTCCCATATCCCCTTCTCCCCATGTCAGTTCCCCCCTGTTACTTCTACCTCCCACAAGCATCTGCAGCTCTCTGCCGCCCCCTGTGGGCCAAGGTACAGAAGCATCCCTCCCCCATCTGGGAAGATGGCCCTGATTAACCCCTAGGTCCAGATATGCCGCCTTTCCTTGTCCTCCTGGGTGCAACCTGGACTGGGCTCCTGGGTGGGTTCCTATGTGAGGGCCATTTTCCCATCTGTGTGTCTCCTCTTCCTTGCCCCACAAGGGGCTCCCTGAGGCTGGAATGAATACCCCACCAGAACAGGGCCAGCCTGCAGAGGGGGCCACTGGTCCCTTAGTGCCCAGATGTGTTCTGCCACCAGATGAGGAGGGGACTGACTTCACCCAGCTTCCCCTCCACTGCAGCTATCTTCCTGGGAGCTGACATGGAGGTTTGGGGACAAGAGCTGAGCCCCCTGGCCCCTCATTGCTTAAGCCAGTGCTGGCGAGAGCCCTGGGGACATCCACTCGTGAACTTCCCCTGGCTTCACTTGGGACAGCCCTCGCACCAGCAGGATCCTTAGGGCCCTCCTCCTGCCTTCTCAGGCACCTGAGCCCTCTGCTTCACACCCAGCGGCTGGCCCAGAGCTGTTTCAGAAATAAAAGGGCCTGGAAAGTTCTCTGTCATCCCCACTGGACATCCTCAACAACCCTCCTCTTCCAAGAAGACTTCCCTGGTTATCTCTTGGCTCCCTTGGTCACACATGGCCTTGTACTACCTTGTGAGCTCTCGCTTTCTCCCCTCGTGTGTGTGTGTGTGAGTGTGTGTGTGTGTGTGAGACAGGCTGAAACAGAGAGACACTTGTTTCTCAAGCAACAGCAGGGACCCAGTTTCCTACCCACAGACCCCCTAGACCTTAACTCGGGACAAGCTCCCCTGGAGTGTGTGTGTGCATGTGCACGTTTGAGTAGTACTCGGAGGACATTACAGACATCGGCAAAGACTTCATTTCAGCTAGAGACTGGGAATAAACAAGATAAAGGAGGAAACTGGTACAGTTTCTTCGGCATAGTAGTCTCTCCATAAACCTCATCCTCCATGTTGCTTTCCAGTTCTGTGACCCAGAAATGCCTTGGAAGGTCTGGACCAACACCCCACACAGTGCCAGGATGGGTGGAGGATGGTTAGGGTGGCAGAGGTGATTGTGGTGGCCTATGGGGATGGCCAGGGTGCTCTCCACCCAGCCCCTGAGTCCCCAAATGTAATTCCAGGGTGAGTGTTCAAACCTCAATGCTGAGTGAGGGTCCTTTCAGGCTCGTCTGGGACATGTGAGTGCCTGGTGACACCCAGCTCCCTGCTCACTGGAGGGTCTCACCTCTCCCCAAGCCATGGTGTAGAGTGCCAATGCCTATTCCTCTCTTGTCTTGTTCACTGAAGGTAGCTCTTATCTCTCTCCCTTCCCACCACCTCCCATGCTTGTGAGGAGCCAGACTCCTGTTCCTCATCAGTCTCCACTGTTCTCATCCCCGCCAAAGAACTCAACTTTTATATTATCTGCTCCCCCCAACCCAGCACACATAAGGGTCGTGGAAACGGTGAAGCAGCGGACCCTGTGGGCTGGGGCCC